TAAATTTTGCGAGCACCTTTTGTGCGTTCAGTAATGCCTCTCGGACCGCGGTATATCACATTTTCAGTTCGCTAACGTCTTTTTTCGCTTTAACTTTGATATTATACCGAATCCAAATTTGTATTTCTGTACAGCATTATTGTGAACAATGTGTTATCAAAAAATATTAAATATTATATTATTATAGATATAAATATCAGCATACTAAATATTATCATACTAGGATATAAATATTAGCGTAGAATATTTAATATAATATAAATATTGTATTAAATTTATATTATACTAAATACACTAAATGCAATATTTATATTATATTAGATGTATTAAATATTGTACTAAGCAATTTTAAAGTAACTTTAAATTAATTTAAGTAACTTTAAATTAAATAATATTAATTAAAATAACGATTCTGTAGCAACTTTTTTTTACATGGCAAAAAATTGAAGTGACTGTGTTGAAACTTCATATTCCCATGAACCATAACTTTTTTTAGCACGTGAATCGAAGGTTCTCAATTCCACTAGCTTGGGCATAATTAAAAATAAAAATGAGGTCAAAAATGATCCCAGTGTGCCAGATTAAAATTAGGAAGACTTACAATATAAGGGAAACTACAATGATTACTATATGCTCATTTAATTAACCATCTGTAGCATCAATTGCCTGCAGGATAATCGCTAACATGACTAACATGTTATAGAAGAATCAACATTTTTCTATCGGACCTCAATCATGCGTTTTGATCGTCACGTATCGCGTTATCGCGAGATCATTTCGTGCTTTAATTTCGTTCGTCTCACGGACGCGTAATTTTTTATTGAACTGTCGATACGTATTCGGCCGCGAGTGTGAATATGTTTAATTGTAAGTGTCATCATATACAGAACGTTCACAAACAGCTGTCGGGTGAAGTCGCTTCTCCCAGCGGATCGACAGCAGCGCAGCGTTCCGTCTCTCGCTCTCGAGCTCGTCTGATTTGCGACGTATTCCACGGTATATTTGGCACGTGATGTTTCATCCCCAACATCAAACAGCGTGTATCGTCACGGTATCCAATCCGACCGCAACCTTTGATTACGATCCTTTGCCTCCAATAGTAGGACTTGTTAGCCAATGATATCTCATCATTCGCGCGTATTGTCGCGATATTGTACTTGATATTCTGCGGCAATTGATAACGCTCATCTTTGGGGCTATAGTTTCATTTAAACGTGTCGTGTTTCCTCCGTGAAAATTCGAGCCGCCGCGTTACTCCATACACAGAAAATGTATATTTTGACGTTTGCATTGTACAGAAAAAGAAAGAGAGAGGTGTCTTTTATTAGGCGCTTCGGAATAAATTTCTTAAGCGCACAGAAACAAAAATAATATAAATTATAATTGCATAAAAAAAATAACTAAAAACGAATTAATAATCAATGAAATAATAAAAACGAATAAATACTCAAATTACCGATATAAAAAATTATTAATAGCAATTAATTGAGTGTAACTAAAAATCAGATAGTTTTACATGTACATGATAACTGTAACTACGAAACAAATTATAATGCAAACATAGAGAGGAAGTTTGACCGACATATCAGAGAAGGTATCAAACAAAACAAGTCATCACACTCAAGACAAACGTTTCCATAATTCCTTGTTCTCCTTTTCCTTGCTGTGTGACCTCTTTCTAGAAAGAACTTTGGCTCTAAAATTGTGGCTGGTAGGTATGAAGTAGCGAGACTACCTCTGTAATCTCTCGGGCGAGACACTCGTATAATCTAGATCGACCTTCGCCCGCCTTCGGCGTTTAATTATAGAAGGTATATGTTTCCTTGATTTTGACATATGATAGAATGCATCTTTAAGAAGATGTTCTAAAATCAAAATCTTAATCAACAGAATATTTACAGTTTTTTGCAAAGTTTACGTCGCATCAGTTGCACAAAATTACAAATGCTTTTACTGAAGCACGTGCAATAATAAATTGGAGCATTACTCAATATGTAACGAAAATGATAAACAAATTTTTAAATTGGCATTTCGAGCGTCATATTCACGTTATGTTTTCTACTAGCATAGTAAAACAAAGCAGTACACATTTAAGATCTATGAGTACAAAAAATAAGAAAAATATAAATAAGAAAAAGAAAGGAAGAGGGGAGAGAAAAAGAGAGTATCGCGCCATCCATACAAAATTACTACGGTATCTTGGCAGCTTATTAAATTTTTAATTGCACATTTTTGCGAGTTATCTCTAGTTCTTAATGATAAACTTCTCCGGTAACGAAAATTAACAAAAAAACAAGTAAGTTACTATGTTGCAGCTGTTCCGTCTTCCCGTTGACACATTTTGGCGCGCGCGCGCTTGCGACTTTTCACGATTATTTCAAATTAATCGCCGCATTAATTAAGCAAGACCACCCCATGTGCGTCGAGATGAACAATATTAAAGTTTCCTGACGATTAATCAAATGAGCGCTGCCGAAGTGGTACCGGTTGGTTGGCGCATAATTTATTTATTTCTTTTTTTCATAAACGATATTCCTGTTGATTGCCTCGATGAAAGATGCAGCGATTTGGAAAAAGAGAGAGAGAGAGAGAGAGAGAGATACGAATATATTCACTTGTATTATTAACGTCGAAACACACACTCAAGCATAATTGCTCCGCACAAGATGGAACGGATGTTTTCTCTCCTTCCCGCGTGACGTTCAGCAAGCCAGTAGCAGCTTTGGAAAACCCAACGACGAATGATTTATCGATACGCGGCGACACAAAGCGAATTTTTGAGCACCTCGCGCTACCTTTAATCGCCCTCGAATCGGAAATATGTCAAATTCGTAAAATCCGCAGCGCGGACTAACGCAAAACAGACCGACAGTCCGGCAGTGTCGATAACTGACAACGCGCCGAAACCCTTTTTGCTACGTCCGTCCGTTCGTTCGCGCGATGTCCGGGCTCGATGCCGGGAAAATCGGCATATCCTTTTTCGCGGCGGACGTCATACCGGCGAATGGCGTCGCGAGCGTATGTCGAACTATCGTAACGGCCGACAGCTTTTCGACGACCACCAGCCGCTACCCGATCACTGGTCGAAGACACAAACGTAATTTGAAAACTCACGTGCGAGAGTCATTGGCAGGTTTATCTTTTTTTCTTTCTTTTCTCTTTTTACCGCGAATCTGGTTCTCCCCTCGTTCTCGTATGGACACTCTTCGACGAGGAGTGAATCTCTAGGTAAACTTCCATGATTACCACGAGATGAGATAATCAACGATGGGAGCTCCATAATTGTTTTCGTCATATTTATGAGGAGCAAATATACTGTATTGAATTAATCATTAAATTTGCATTCACATAATAATACAAATTTGTTGCTACGTTGTGCGGCAACAAACTTACTAAAATTATACTCAGATTCTCATGTTACATTTTACATTGCTCTGAGCGAATTTCGGTCACTTTCCGCATTATTTTTGCATCTTTATTTCGCTATTCCGTACGATAAATGTAAATGTCATATGAATTATTTTTAAAGGATACAACCTTTAAATTCCCACGACATGAGATAACCCATAATAGAAACTCTACAATTGTTTTCGTCATATTTATGAGAAGCAAATATACTGTATTGAATTAATCATTATATTTGCATCAAATAATAATGCAAATTTATTACTATATGCAGAAACAAACTAAGTTTACTAAGCTTTATTAAACTTACTAAAAATTACACTCAGATTTTCATATTACATTTTACACGGCATATTGTTTTAAGCAAATTTTAGTCATTTTGTTTTCGTTTCTTTCATATTTCTATTTCATAATTCTATGTAGTAAATGTGAATGCCATATAAAAGCTACTTTCATGCTTTTATATTGCGTCGAGTAAATTGAAATAAATTCCTTTGTATTTTTATGTCGTCTTTCAATATAAGGTCAATGTGAGCGACACATGAATTATTTATAAAGGATACAATTTTTGCAGATAGACTAATAAAGTGCCGCCAAATTTACGTCCTGGCCATGTGTCGTTTATTAGCGTTAATATTTTAAAGTTGTACGAATTATCCAACCAATTAGACTAATTGCTCCGATTATTTGCATGACTAATTACACGACAGGAGCACGACAGGACATGCAAAGCAAACAAATATGATATAAATACAATAAGATATAATTATATGGCATAAATGGCGTACAATGCGTTGACACGCGCTCGCGCAGGAAAGATAAAGAGAGGCAAACAGCGAAAAAGAGAGAATATCATATTATTCAAGCGGCTTTGTGCCGTCGTTAATATCTTAATTAGTTCATAATTGTAAGAGACGGCGAAATTATTCAAGCCCTTGTTTACCTTTAATAAAGTTAGGCTAACATTAATTTAATGTACGGATGAGCACGTAACTAGCGTGTTTAATCATTCACAATTACTACATACGGAACAAGCATTACTCCTGGCCTTTGTGGCAGGCTCTCTCGAGCTGTACACACGTGCAGCATCATCTTCGATCCACACTGACTTACAGAATTAAGTCCGCCACAGCCAACGAGAGACCGAAGAGGCTTGGTGCACGTCATCGCGGCAAATATACTGATCGGAAAATGCGCACAGACGAAACTCTCTCCGCGGTATATACTCCAGAAAATAATCCTACTAAAAAGTAGTGATCCGTCATTTATGTATCTCGCGAGAGGGAAAGCGAAAATGAGAGAGAAAGAGAAGACAAAGAGAGAATGTTTCTCACGTCAATTCGACGATACTTTTCTCTCCGAGTGAACGCGTTATCCCGCGAGATTCGCGAAAGGCATAAGAGAGAGAAGAGAGAGAGAGAGAAAGGAAAAGAGAGATTGAGAGAGAGAGAAAGGAAAAAGAGAGATTGAGAGAGAGAGAAAGAGAGAGAGATTGAAAGGAAAGGAAATCATCTGTAGAGAACCACCGTCAAGCCACACCGACACGCATAGCCTGACGCCCCTCTGACGGTGCCGAATTTTTTTTTCTGTTGCAGAGTCGAAGAAGGATAAGACTGAACAGAGTGCAAATGGCGCGATATCGCCGAGCGAGCCGCAGGCCGGTAATCTGGGCGGCCCGGCGCTGGTCTCGGGCCCGGTCCCGGATGCCGGGGACCAGCAAAAGCCGAACAGGCCGAACACCCTCGAGGCCAGGGTGGCAGCCAGGAGGCTGATCTTGTTCGACAGTGAGTAACGCTTTCTCGCGCTCGCTAACCACTAAAGCCGGCCGCCGTGCGCATCGTCGTTGTCGCTTGCTACCGCGATTCTCCCGCGTATCGATCGCGTCTGCCCAGGGAAAAGTCCGATATCGACAGGAGCGCGCGGGTCACGCTCGTTTCCGCTCGGACGACTTCATGACGAAGAGCCAGCTGAATGGGGAGGAAAGTGGCCGAGGGAGAAAACGGCGAAAATGATTTCGCCGATAAAATCGCCCGACGCTCTGGGACCAGCTAATTATTTTGTATAAAAGGATTTGTATGTATGTCGTTGTTTGGCCCCTTCGAAATTACGGCGACGACGGTATGGAGTGCGTGGCTTGAAAAATGATATGGCGTGTGTGTGTGTGTGTGTGTGTGTGTGTGTGTGTGTGTGTGTGTGTGTGTGTGTGTGTGTGTGTGTGTGTGTGTGTGTGTGTGTGTGTGTGTGTGTGTGTGTGTGTGTGTGTGACTTTTGAGTGCCAAACTTTGTTGCCTCGTGGCGCACTCGTAGCGATTCGATGTCGTTAGTGGGTAATTTAGCCAGAAAGAAATTGGACTGAGTATACAAATTAATGATAGGTCACTGAAGTTTTACTTGTGCGAGCCTTTAAATATTTCGAACTGGCGACAGAGTCAACTGAGCGACAAAAAAGTCTGCATTTCAGACCCTGCATACTTTATGAGTTTCAAAAAGCTAGTAAACGCGATGCAGGCAGCAGAAAACTTGGGTGGAATGTTTGAAGAGGCTGCAGCATAACAGCTGGAACTCATAAACACGAGGAGAAAATACCGTAGTAAAAATCACAGCAGAATTTTTGTAATCTGAGCCAAAATTGTAACCGAAGTTTCTATATTTTTATTTAAAAAAATGTTACGTTTGACTTTTTACTACAGAATTATTGTAGTGGCTGGAATGTTTTTTTATATTCAATGGATCGTGTTAAAATTTACATTTCTACAATAATTCCAAAGTTACAACTTCTCAAACAACTAATTATTGTATTTGACTGCATAAACATGATAGAGACAACATTCCATCGTGTCTTCGTATGTCTGAAATACGAAAATGCTGCAACGTGGCCATCTTGCCCTGGCACCGGGTCAAGTTGGCTAGCAATTCAGAGCAAGAAGGTCACAAGTAAAATATGTATCCTGATTAATAGTTCCACGGTCTTTACGAAAGGTCTCCACAGCCTTACGGCTACTTAAATAGTAGCTAACTTTACCTCGCCCGTCCATATGCTCGATTTCAATCATTTCATGAGTGCAAATTGCTTTCATTGCTCAAAACAGTGTATCATATATTTGCAAGAAACTTCATTGCAACTAATAATACGTCACTTCAGTCCATTCACTCACGATGGAAAATATTAAAACTTAATTTCTATACGCTCGAGAATGCAGTTGGCTGCTCTTAAATTAGGTTTTTTTTCTATTTTTTTATCATAATATTATTCCAATTTTAATGAAACTCGAGGAAAAATAATGTAATTAGATTTGCTAACCCTAATTATTTATATATCTTTCATATGTATTTATTATATATTAAAAATTATTTATATGTATTAATTATATATTATTTATATGTAATTATTTATATATGTGTGTATATATATATATATATATATATATATATATATATATATATATATGTATATATATATATATATATTTATATGTACATTTGTATTATTTATATATACGTACATGTATGAAATAATAAATTTTATTTAGAGACACATGAAAAATAATTTTACGACAATAAAAGGCTGCATATAGTGAAAATAGAAACAGATGCCAAGATAAAAAACTGTTGTTATTCTTACTTAAAGTTAAGAAGAGGAAGAAACAAAGCTGCTGTATTTGCTAGAACTGAATTGAGAACGTCTCGTTTGTTGCCAGAAGGATTTTTTAAATCCTCTAAACCGGGATAAACCGGGAGAGTTTGGTCGAATCCGGAACAAATCGGCGTCCCGGATAGCATTCAAAAAATCCGAGAGCTGGGGAGAAAAGCGAGACTGACCCGGAAAAAACGGGACGTCTAGTCACCTTGAGAAAAATATCTACGTTCTAAAAGAAACATTTTGCGACTTTATTTCCATGGTTGCTTTCGCGATGAATACATGAATGAAACACATGACTGAAATAGTCTTTAGGTCAATCAGTCCCGGTCTCCCCTATAGCTTTGCGATCGACATAAACTGACGTCTGTATTCATTTGTCGTTATGAGACCCGAGAAAACTTCCGAACGAGGCTCTTCCCTGTGGCTTGAGGGTCTCATCGGTTCGCAAGTGATAATAGCGTCTTTTTATCCGGCGACTCGGCCGCAGCAGAGCCACGAGTACTCGCTGCGAATCCGAGTGCTTCGCGGATGCAATTATGCAATCATTGAGGGGTATACGAGCGCGGAAAGTTTCGTTATTGGATTTAGTTTGCTCCCTTTGACGAGACAGCCGCTTCTCTATTTATCTCCACCAACATCTACATCTTTTAATAACGTTTATTAGAATCTGAAACTCTCTCTCTTTCTCTCCCCCCCCCCTCTCTCTAATAAAGTAGGCGAGCTCGGACAGACATATACACACATACACACAGAGATAGTCTCGTGTGCACACGCGTCGGATTTATGTAAAATTGTCGTTAAATTGCGCATGATCCATTAGTCAACATCAAATATTCGGCCGTAATCCGTAATCTGTATTACACGAGCACGTCGCAACATAATTTCAAGCCGAGATCGATGAGACCGACATTCGACCAGTAAAGCTTCTCCGTTTGATCTTCACCCCTCGCGCGTCATCGGACGATCTTAAGGGAGCATTCTCACTTCAAACATATACGTTTTATACGTGGTTTAGAAACGTGAGAAACTTTTTTTAAGAAACTATGAGACATACAACTCTGTAGTTTTGCACAAATATTTATCTATGTTTCAACTATACAGAGTAATTTCTATAGACCATTATCTTCAACAATAATAAATTTCAAAATAATTTAGTACAACACTGTAGAAAAGTTTTACTTTCGTATGGCACGGTTTCGGACGTTGTAAACTTCTGAAACCAAAATGGCAGATAAATTATTCAACTATAAACTTGTGATTAACATGCCCACATTAGGATTTTTTAGATATAATTAAACATTTTTTTAATAATACATGTTTAAAATTTTCAAAACAAAAATCGAATTTTTGTCTTCAACTTAATGTGACTTCCATAATTTTAAGTTTTTTTCAAAATCCCTACGCATTTTGCATCTTACATAATCTTGTTAAGAATATGTGTAATGTCTAAATTAGAAGTCAGACAATTAATTCCCAAGATATCGCGTACAGTATCAATGCACGTCTTAGCAAAGCAGCTGTGACGTCCTGTAACTTGGCTATTCGAAAATTTCTTAAAACTATTTTCGCCAAACTACATACTAAAAATTGTAAGCAAAGAAAATTGTTCACAATTTATAGTTGCATTGAAAAAAATTACTAATTTCTGACGTTTTCTTTTACACGTCAGAGTGGGGCATGTGACCTCTTAACTGATTAGGACGAAAAAATGCGAGAGAGCGGCACGCCATACTACGTCGAAATTTGTCCGCTAGTACACCGGCCGATAGAAGCCGAGACGATATCGCCGTGCGCATCGATACCCGCCGGGCATGTTTATGCTCGCGCGAGTTTCAGAATTAATCGCTCCCAGGATACTTCGGCGCGCGAGCTCCCGCGCTCCGGCTGAAATGAACTTACGTGCGCCTAAAATTCTCGCGCATTCACGACTGTGGACCAAAAGCAACGTCCGCGATAAATTTCCACCCCGGGGAGGAATCAAATATGTTGAAATATGTGGCCGTGATCAAGCGCGACTGGGGGACGGCAGCGGGTTATGCGTGGTAGCCGAAGTATCTCGTCGGAACCGCGCCCGGAACTTCGTCCTTTTGTGGCAGAATTTCAGTGCGCGACGTTATCAAATGGCCAGCGAGAGCGAGCACGCCGCGTCCGCCGAGTTATTTAACATTCCGGCCGAAACCGATACGCGCCATACCGCGCGACCTAGCCGGTTCGTTATTCACGAAAAATACGTCCCGGCCTTTCGCAGCGCGGCAGAATGAAATTTTGCGAAAAAAGGGGAATACAGAGAGAGAGAGAGAGGGGGGGTGAGAGGGAATGAGAAAGGAAGGGTGGGAAGAAAAGTAAAATAAAAGAAGCGAAAAAGAGAAACTGGGAGCGCGCATATAGAGCGCGGCATGCGGAATTAAAAATTCCGCTTGGCATTCTCGCGAGCGAGCGAGCGCGCGCACGTTGCCGGTGGGATTTAATAATAAACAAATTCGGGGAAGCCTCCTCGCGCGAATCACCGCCGCGAACACGACGTTTTGCAAATCTCGCCAAGTGCAGTTGAAATGGAACGAGGGGGAGGGGAGGGAGGGAGGGAAAGAGCGAGTAAGCGAGCTTCGGAGCGGCGGCTTTGCCAAGATATTGTTGCTCCTGCGTCGCGATGAATCACGTTTCCCGAAACAACTGGCTTGGTCGAACGCGTTCTTCTTTTGGTCGTGTTCTTACGTCGATGCAGATCCCGAGGGTCGCTCCGTAACGTAACGATGACTCGTTCCCGTCTGTTGTTCCGCGCCCGTGTTTATGCGCGAGGGCGAAGATAAAATAATCATCATTCTCAAAAAATTTTCCTCCTGCCTTCCTCTCTCTTTCTCTCTCTTTCTCTGCCTCTCTTTGCCTCTCTTCTTTCTCGCCCTGCGATCTCCTCGTTAATATCGTGAAATTCATCTTGTAATAAAGATGACTCAATATCGTGTAATCCAACTTCTTCCGAGTTGGAAACACCGTCGTCGATCTAAGCAAAACTTAATTACAACTCAACGGAAAATATAAACAGAGCGAAATTAATTTAATAAGATAACAATAGGATAACGCGATAGCGCGTTTTCGACGGTGTAACTCTTTCCTCAATGTAACGTAACACCGTTCGATACATTCAAAACTTCGGTCATGATTCGACGGTCAGAGTTGAAGCTTCGAACTCTATTCGAAGATTCGAAATGTCGATGGAGCTAATTTTGAGGGGCGCAACAAGATTCCGTGTAATTAGTAAATTAAAGTATCTTTACCCACACACAGAAGAATATCAATCTGTTGCTAATAAAGCAAGATTCACTCAGTTTGCTTTTCTTCTTTTAAGTAGTGATTATCTTTACAACACAACTAGCAACAACACAACAAACAAACAATATTTTCTTCATAGTAGCGTCAAAATATACTCGTCACAGATGTCAGAAAAACTCATGGTCATATATCGAAGAGAAGAATTTACTCTCTTTGCGAGAATATTATAAGGAAACTTGGCTCGACTTTGTAGCGTAGTATGCGTGTAGAAATGTAATTAGCTGACCTGAATTAAAATTTAGTAGCTAACTGGTGCAGATTAATTAAGATTAAATATTCTATCTTGTTACTAATTCGTTGATCATTCACTGAAATATAGAATCGTGGTCTAACCGTTTGTGGTTTAACTATTACATATCAAGTATGGTAGACTAAGTGGCGCTGCCTGTTCTAAAATACATAATCTAGCCACTAAATCACCACTAACATTATAATTGAATAGCAAGTTAAAATTTAGGCTACGTTAATTTAATAAAAATCTCAGAGAAGCAGAATTGCTGGCTAGTAGTTATATTACTAGCTAGTAGTGATGTTAGTGATGTTAAACACAAATTACTATCTCATGACTAGAGAGACACCGACGAGATTCAATTTCCAAAAAGTACAATTATTTGGATATTCGGAAATGCATAATTTTTTTAGTCAAGAGACGAATAAAATCAAAGTTAGAGTATCAATCTTATTATATATAATGCAAGTTTTATTAAAATTATTACAAAGATTAGCTACACTTGAATCTTTCTTTTGTTCGTGATTAGAGCTTAACGACACAGGAACACAGGATCACATATAATGTAACTAAATAAATGAGCTACTTGCATAAAACTCTTTTTATATATTGCATTTAATGTAAAGAACCAACATATACTTCGAAATTTTGATATGCCAATATGGTGCCTCGAGGCTAATATAGTACTTTCAGATATAATTGATAGTTGTCATATTTCTCTTTTGAATGGGTCGTTGTGTATGTACGTTATGTAAAATCGCAACCTCTTTTTTCTGCTTGCAGTGGAGAAGGGGGTGCTGGACCAGAGTGCCGACAACCAGCCGGTAATCGAGAGGTGTTATCCATTACCACCTCAGAATACCTTGATGCTGTCGGAACTACCAGAGCCGCCGATCCCGTTGAGCGAAATCGGCCCGATTCCGCCCCCGCCGATGTTCAGCTCTCCGAGTCCCACTTTGCTGGCGAGACAACGGCAAATTCCGCTCTCGGATTGCGAGGACGAGGGTAAGTGTTTCTAGCGGATCATATTAATTGAAAGATGAGTTGTTTAATCCTCGATTTTAACGTGCCGCCATAATAAATAATGCAGCGCGAACGCGACCCAAACGTTTTTCTCCCTCTATCATTGTGTGTCCCAATTATTGCGATTTTCAATATTGCGAAATATGTAAGGTTATAAAATTACGGCACAATGGCACGCGTATTATCGCGGAATTATTTGGCGCTGTTTATCTCATTAGCGGGAATTTAATTTTGTCGTTAATTATCGTTCCACGCTAATTGACTACCGCAATTCCGCGGTGCATTAATGTACTTGCCTTCGTGCTGCGTGTCTGATTATTGATTGCGAGCGTTACGATTGTGCCACCGGCCGCGGAATGTATTCATAAATCGAGCCTAACGCCGACCCGTCGTCGCGTAATTATATAAATCGGAAAGAGTAATCAACTGGCACTCTGGCGCGCGTCTACGTGCTGCGAATTTACTCGCAGCGCGCGAATCATCAAACTCGCGCGCGCTCAAATTTTGCCGGGTATGAAAATAATAAGTATTAAAGTAGCTATCCCTGTTTTTGTTTTCGCCACATGTATAATGAAGAAATATATTTGTACGTTTATATATGCCCAGATAGACTTTCATAATTATCGCAAACATTAGATATTTGATGATGGAAACTGTGCAGTTTTTCTTTTCTAATTGCATTTATGAAGCAAACATACCGTGTATTTAATTAATCATTAAATTTACATCATACAAAATAATGTAAGTACTAGTAAAGTATATAAATTACTATAAAAATAAAAAAATTTGACAATCTACTTGATATACGATAAAAACATTCAAGCAATTACCTAAATGTTGTAATTGCTTGTACATTTATATTAATTTTGCGTAATACATTGTTTTGAGCAAGTTTTGATCATTCTTTTTGTAATTCTTTCATATTTCTATATTATCATTTTATGTGATAAAAATACATTGAGAAAAAAATATTAAAAAAAAATAAAGGAAATTTATTCGCCGTGAGGGAGTACTAATAATATATTTACTTCAATTTAAATAGAACAAACAGTCGTTTCAATAAAAAATTGTGGCGTTAAGAAAATATACCTCATTTGGAATGTTTGCTCGATATGAAAATAAATATATTAGTAGGAATAAATATGTCATTTTAGAGAGAGAGAGAGAGAGAGAGAGAGAGAGAGAGAGAGAGAGAGGGAGAGAGGGAGCAATTCTCGAATAGAAATTTTTTATTTTTTAGATATTTTTTCTGTCAATGTAAGTGCTATATGAACCATTCACAAGGGACGTTACTTTTACAGATCAATTAGTAAGTTTATTGCCAATTTTGCGTACACATGTCTATCTGGACACATTTCCATTTTTATTATTATTATTATATATATAAACGTATTTATATATTTTCTTTTGTTTAATATACACGCGAGTTTTTGGAATGTTTGATTCGCGCATCGTAAAATATGAAAATAAACGATTATTAGAGAGCTTTCAATTACGCGCGTTCTCTCAACGTTTGCCCGCACAGATGAAGAGGACATCGACGTGGAGGAGGACGACGACAACATGTACGTCTTCAGGGTGTCCCAGCCGGATCCGGCGATCGACACGTCACGTGTCGAAGAGATTCCGGCGAAGGAGCCCAAGTTCCACGCCGTGCCCCTGAAGAGCGTCCTGAAGAAGCGGGGCTCTGGCAGCGGGCCCGGCACGCCTCAGAATACACCGACGCAGGAGAACAGGCCGCTGACGCTTCGCCAAGAGCTCCACGCCTCGTTCAAGTTAGTGCCCCCGCGAGTCTCTACAGACGATTTGCAGATGCTCGAGTATATCCGTCGATGGACGCGAAGCGTTCGTGGGGGAGAACCGACCAAGACGCGAAATATCCTCGGGGTTGTCGTTCATTTTGTCTTAATCTCGAGAGTAACGATCAATTAACTTGGCACACGAAGATGACGAAGATTCAAAGATTCCAATTTCGATACTCCGTGAACTTGGACATTACTTGGAATTCACTCCGTTTCTCGAATTTTTAATTTTATAATTTATCGTGTTTATTCAGTCGTGTTAAATATAATCTTATTCTCAGCGGAATCCTGTTATATATGAATATCTCTATTCTCTTAAAGCTAAAAGGAAAATATCCTGCTTTCTCAAAACAATGATATTCATCATTGAAATGCTTATAATTATACTTCAGTCAGAATATTGCAATCGATAAAATCTCGTTGGAATAATCAATTGGTAAAAGAGACTATTCCCATTACTGATGCACTTTGCGAGCATAGTCATTATACGCAAAGCGCATGGAAGCCGTTAATTCCATCGCTACAAACGCAGAAAATTAGATTTAGCACAGCGTATGACGAATTTGTGCAAATTTTGCCATGAAATCTTCTTTCTATTGTCGAAATCAGTGAGAAATGGACGGAGCAGTGAAATGAGAGTGTTTTCACTGAAAATCAATGAATACTCATTGATCATCAGTGAAGTAGTCTTTTCATTTTCAGATTCGGTCAGATACATTTTTATTGATTCACTTTAAGAGAGTAACATCCAAAAAAAGAACTCTGGTTGCAAGGTATATTCCCATATTCTAAACAAAACCTCTCATGGAAAATGTATTCCTCTCCTATTTAATAACACATACACAGGAAACTTGTACTGTAGACAAAAAACAAAATTCCTCTAATTGTAAAATGTTTGTAGAAGACTTGTACATAGAAAAAGAATGAAATTCCTCTAATTGTAAGAATATTACGCTTAGAATATTTTCCTTTTGGTTTTAGAAAAATCCTCTTGAGGCCACATATAAGAGGATTTCGCTGAAGATAAGATTATAGTTTTCTGGATTGTGTGTCGCGCATCGTAGATCTATTCTTTTCAGTTGAACCGAGTGCTGCAACTGGAATCCCGTTCCTTTTGCCTCCAACGCTAGGTTGTGCTACTTGTTTACTCTAAAGACAAGAAGGGCAATCTAGTTCAGCTAAAAAGAACAGATCTCGCATCTGTTGCATCGAGAGGTTATTGCGATCGTAAGGAGAACTCTGATCGGGTTACGTTGGATCCACGTGTAAGATTGCAATGCTAATTAGAAAAAGCAGCGCGGAATAAACGGGAATGGAAGGTGCGTCCTCCCCGGCCCCGGATCCCCCCCAGAACGCTTCGCGCTGAAACTCGAAACTCGCCGTAACAATCGGGCGCTCTTCGAGAGCCCCTGGGCGCAAGTCTGCCGGGATAATCCGCTTTCTACGTCGGATTTTCTTTAATTAAAAATCGCGCCCGCGTTCTCCAAGCCCCCCGCGCTCCCTCGCGCTCCGGCGAGACGTCTCGTCGTTTGATATCAAAAGCCTCGGGAACGTATTCTCCTGCACGAGCAGCAACGGGGGCTGCACGAGACCATCGGCCTCCCCCCCCCCCCCCCCCCC